ATCATCAAGTCTAGGAGACACAGTGGGGAATCGAACTCCTAACCTCTGGCTCCAGAGACCTGAACTACTGAGCTTTCTAGCAGTTTGCAGTTCTCTGGTGAGAATTCTATGCTGTAGATTCAGTTGAGGACACTTGACCGGTGGTTCTCAGTCTTTCATAACTTCTGGACCATCAAAGAACCTGGGTTCCCACCATTCCGTGTGAAATACTGCCAAAGAAACAAAATCAAAGAAAAATAAAAATAATTTTTAAAAAAAGCTCTGCCAGCTGAACAAAATATACTGCATGCATACAGTTGGATATCTGCTTTGTGACTAGCACTAATGAGTATCAAAAGGAACAGTGAGAAACAGGGCAGAATCTTAATCCTAAATTATGGAGTACATAAATTACAGGCAAGCCGGAACGGGGGTGTGCAAGTGCGTAGGAGGAACAGGAGATGGAAAAGAGACAATGTAGGCAATACTGGGCTAGAAGGACAACTAATCTAGTTGCCTTTAGAAAGATTGATTGACGTTCAAGATAAGGATTCTTGTAATGCCTTAGAAATCGATAAGCATTATGTGCCATTAGCTTGACTGTAGCCCACTTCTGCAGATGCAGCCTCCCTGGAAATTTCTTTAAAACAAGGTGCATGGCCTGACCACTGACTGCATGCATTGCTTGAATTAAAAGCATGAGGGGTTGCTGAAACCAGAGGTTACTTTCATGTTTCAGTGCAAGAGTATCGTGCAGCTGACAGTAGATCTTGGAGAAGGAAAATGGGCCCCTGGACTCACTGAAGCCGCCCGTCTCCGGAGTAATTATTGTTATATTTGGAGTTATCCTCCCAAAATGTGGCTATGGCCTCAGAGCCCTCAGTCTGTCTTGCTTTTACAGTGGTGCCTCGCTTTACCCTCAGTCTGTACACTGAATGATTTTGTCTTGCTTTTACAGTGGTGCCTCGCTTTACGATTGCCCCACATTATGACAAAACCGCATTACGACAACCTTTTTGTGATCGCAAAATGATAGTCTAAATGGATTTTTTTCGCTTTGCGATGATCAGTTCCCTACTTCAGGAACCAATTCTTCGCAAAACGACGATTTTCCTCCAGCTGATCGGCGGTTTCAAAATGGCCACCGGGTAAATAAAATGGCTCCCCGCTGTTTTCTGGGACGGATTCCTCGCTGCACAGGCACCGAAAATGGCTGCCCTATGGAGGATCTTCGCTGAACGGTGAGTTTCCAGCCCATTGGAAGGGGTTTCGATGCGTTTCAATGGGCTTTTTATTTTCGCATTACATTTTTGTTCTACAGCGATTTCGCTGAAACGAATTAACGTCATAATGCGAGGCACCACTGTACTTGTTAGGACAAAGGCTTGATCATGGTTCTTTGAACCCATGTTTAGATACAGTAGTTAGTGACAAGTGGCTTCTTTCTTATTAAACGTATTTTAAAAATAAAGATCTATAGTGGGAGAAATCTGTCAGGATGTTTTCTTTTATATATAATCCATTTGTGGATTTGGTGCCATCTTGTTTGTCGATCAGTGTTAATCTATCTGTTTTGTATACTGATTTGCATTCCTGCACTCAGCAGGGGGGTTGGACAGGATAGCCTGATAGGCCCTTTGCAACTTCATTATTCTAAGATGCCGTGATCTGTGTGTTTCTCTATGGCTATCTTTCATTGGTGATCTTTTTCTTTCATTGTCTCCTGATCAGTCATTCACTAGACTAGTGGTTTCCCAACCTGGGAGTTGTGACCCCGAAGCTCCCAGAAATCCTGGCCAGCAAATCTGGGGACCCAAGGTCGGGAACCATTAATGTGATCCTATCAAGAACAGTATATATTTCTCTTGAGTTTTTCAGCACTTCCCATCTCCTTTCTTTCAAGAAGTCTCGTTTGTGATGCACAAAAGGAAAAAAGTGCCCTTGGGCAGGATGACTGCAGTGTCCCAGACTTCACCCTTGTTCTCCCTTGTCATTTTTGCTGCTACTCCTCGTTTCCTTTCCCGCAACTCCTCTGTACTGCCAGCTGGATGGGAGAGCATCAGATGAGCGGACAAGGCTCGTCCATTAGTCAAGAAAGTAATGGGAAATCCACAGCTAAAGCAGCCCTGACAGATGGCTGTTCAAACCTCCAAAGGAGAGTCCATTGCTTTCAGAGATACAGTCGTGCCCCGCTTAACGATTACCCCATATAACGACAAATCCGCTTCACGACGATGTTTTTTAAAACAATGTTTTAATGGGGTTTTTTTGCTTTGCGACGATCAGTTCCCTGCTTCGGGAACTGATTCTTTGCATCACGACGGTCAAAACAGCTGATCGTCGGGTTTTCAAAATGGCTCCCCACTGTTTTTAGGAAGCATTTTTCGCACTACAGGCCACCCCTATGGTGGATCTTCGCTGGACAAGCGGGTATTCAGCCCATTGGAACGCATTGAACAGATTTCAATGGGCTTTTTTATTTCGCTTGACGACATTTTTGCTCTACAGTGATTTCGCTGGAACAAATTAACGTTGTCAAGTGAGGCACCACTGTAGTCCATTTCACTGCTAAATAATTGTTATTGTTAGGAAGTTCTTCTAAGGTTCAGTCCAAATCTCCTTTCTTATCATCTAAGTTCTTTTATTCAGGTCCTCTGTTCTGGAGCCCAGAAAACTATCTTTCTCCAACTTCCTGCTTCCAGCCAGCCTCCAAATATTGTAAGGTGGCCCTCATATCACCTCTCTGTCTTCTTTTTTCCAGGCTAAACCTACCCAGCTCTATCAACTGCTCCTTATAGGGTTTCGTGTTCAGATCCTATGCCACCTTAGTCACGGTGTTCTGCTGACAGCATTCCTGGCAAATTGCTGTTGGCAGTTCGGGTTTGGTTGTGTCAGTCACGTTAAAAGAGTCAGTTCAAGGGCCATGTTTTCATTTGACAAATGGGTGCCCGCATGATATCAAAAAGCTCAAGTCACTCCGGATTCATCATTGCATGCTGTGGCCGGTCCCCGAGCGCATGCCCCCAACCTTGTCTAAAAGTAAACCTTTTGGGCTGCAAGTATTAAATATGCCTCAATTCTGAATCCAGAAGTAGATATAATTTTGCTGTTAGATGTTTTGGGAAATAACCCATTCATTTGAAGCAAGTCAATCCCTTGATGTCCTCTTCTTCTGAGAGTCTTTTCTTTTTCCTTCCGTAATGACTCTTGACTTAATTTCCCCCAAATGTTGGTTGGCTTCTAGCCAGTAATTCTAGTCGGGGGGGCGCACGCGGGGTGTTATTGCACGCCTGGAAAATCTTTCCAGGGCTGTCTTAGCACATTAGACCACAGGGAATACTAATCCTGAAGAAACTGGGCAAAGACCATGGGAGAAACTCCATACTTTTTTTAAAAAAATGGTTCTCAGTGCAGTTTCTTGTATAAGGGAATAGGGAGGGGTGGCTGCTTGAAGGGAATGGGGGATAAACGAGAAGCGGAAAGCGAACACAAGACTGCATTGTGGAAAGATAATGTGCGTAGAGAACACTTACGTCTTCTAGAGAAGTTTCTCAGAGAGTGAGAGTTCATTTCCTCTTGAGTTTTTCTCACCACATTTCTGAATGTGCGTGTTTGTGTAGATGCATGTCGTGGTGGTGCCTTCCTCGGTCGCTAGTCGGTTGAACTGTTGCAAACCAACATAGCTGCTGATGTCATGAGCTGCATGTGAACTGGAGCCGCTGGTGGTGCTTAGGCAAGCCTTGTGGAAGGGAAAATGGGAGACCTTGGCAATCTTCTTTGGCTTCAGATGGGTCTCTTCACTGCAAAATCCCAACATTGCCATTCCTGTGCTTGG